TGGTGGTGGTGGTGGTGGCACTAGTAGTGCTAGTGCTGGTGCCGGTGCCAGCAGTCGAGCTAGTAGTACTGGAGAGTACCCTGTACCGGCACGGTTCGCCAGGATCAAAGGAACGTCGATGACGAGGCATCCGACGATCTAAACAAGATATCGGTTCCGGGCTTCGGGCTGACGGTTCTGAGTTTCGGGCGTTTCCAGCGGGCCGATGACAGCGTCGGGAGATCTGAATTAAAGCTTCCACTTTGCAGACGGGCCATCCTTTGCTCTAAATGGCGTACAAAGCATGTTGACTATCGTGCGCCGCAGATCACAGATTGCCATCGATCACCGTTTCGGCGGCTCGGATCCGTCAGTTCGATGAGTCGAGGTCAAAGGCCCTGGTGAGTAGAGCCGCCGACAACATGTAACAGCATGCGATTACCATGGCGGGTGGAGGCTGCACAGAGCTCCGAACAGCGGTACAGCACTTCCCAGACTCTCGCATGAGGGATTTGAGAAATCCACCTCGTAGTTGCCTGGTCGACTTTTCTGAGCTTGGAGATCTGCCGGCTCGGAACATACTGACGAAGCAGTACTTGCTTCGGGTTCTGCCGGATGCTTTGCCAGATCGTTGCTAAGCGCATCGGAGCTGAAGCTCGAAGTGAGTGCAGGCGTCAAAGGATGCCAAGTCAAGGACGCTGCAGAATGCAATTGCGAGTGAGCCCGCTCTGCGGTAGCAGCATTTCAGTTGGGGATGGGACTTCTGAACGAAGACACAGCTTTCTGTTTGTCCAAGCGGTGTCGGGGCCTCGCATACCTGATCAGCCTAGAGAATGCCCAGATTTTCCGTTTGCGTGCGAGGTTCGTGCTAGTGTGTATGAAGCCTACGGTTTGCGATTTTATTCTCATGCTCATGAAGCTGCGATTATTGTGTGCCTCACTGTCGTGTTTGACGTTGGTGTTGATTGTGGGCGCTGCATCCCAGACTTACTGTAGAGTTGCAATATGTCGTAGTTGCGGTCGGGGTCGTCCTCGTCGTAGTCGTCGTTGCTGTTCGCTATCGCCTGCCGACTGCAGGACGGTCGCCGAGCGAGGCTCGGTGACTCATGTGGGAGGTGTGGAGAGGTCCCCTTAGGCCTTCTTGGCAGACTTTTTTGAGTGGACTCCAGGTGCATCTGCACCTTCAACTCAAGACCATTTCCTTAGTCTGTCTGAGACCACAGACACTTGGAAGGAGCCGCACCGTTCGTTCGGACAAAATCTGACTACTACAAGAGCCGTTTGACAAGAAGTTCTGTGCGCGTCAGAGGCTGGAAAAAAAGACTTGATGGATGTTTCGGAAGCCTCAAACTGATCTTCGCCTTGCCGGTTCAGGTGGCGACTGCTACATTTCGCCCTCAGAAGCTGCAAAAAGTCATGACCTCTGTCGTCCTCGACCAGAAGTGTGACTGCTCCGAAGTACTATGAGGCCGCGAGAGGCGCGACGGCATTGAGTACGCCGCCGCGGCCTGAGCACCAAAATTCTTGCAATTCCAGGCCCACGGTCAGGCCTTCTTTGCTTGTAAGGACAGCAGCTCTGCTGCGTCTCCGGCGCCTCTGCAGGGCCCGCTGCTAAGGGGGCTGCTGGGTTTGCGCTCCACGCGAATGAGATTGGAAACGTCTGCAGCCAGTGGAATAGAAGGAAGACAAAGCATGAAGAAGATGCTGTACCTGCCGAACAAAATGTTTGTGAGTAATTAACTTGCAAGGCTGATCTTGCTGTCGTTGCAGAAGGGAAGCGTGCTTCCCGCACGAACGAAACGTAGGTTGAACGTCAGTGCCTTCAGGCAAACTGAACTGGTAGCTAGCCTGTGGCCCAACTGCAGACACAATCCCTAGCCAAACCTGACCAGCCAGAGCCTGCCGCGTGTCCATTCCCCTACTATGAAGGCCCCCATCAATGACGTAACAGCTCAATCCGGGCTGACACTGTGGCCTCAGTGATGCATCAAGGCCCCGAGAAGCAGAATTCAGCCGTGAAGCAGAACCCTATTGAAAGCACCCCACCCTTGCTTCGCCACGATTGCTTCTGCTGGTTCGTCTACAGCCGCCGCGGGTGTAGCAGTGTAGTAGTAGCAGTCGTCGTCGTCGTCGTAGTAGTAGTAGTAGGACCGTGAACCAGTAGTAGGGGTAGTGGTGGTGGTGGTGGTGGTGGTGGTGGTGGTGGCAGCAGCAGCAGCAGCAGCAGCGGTAGCAGCAGTAGGTAGTAGACCATCTGCGACACCTGATACTCGTGTTCCTACAAGTATAGATGTTTCATGAGGCACCCCTAGTACTTATTTATAGTGTAGCTGCAATTGCAGCGGCATTGTGAGCCGGATCCCGGTCGAAGAGTACATTGTGTTTTGTCTTCTATTCCGGGGACGATGGTGGATAAAGGGTTCGTACGAGGTGTCGCACCCGAGTTTGAGGCAGCTGTAAGAGTCGGTTTCAAGAAGCCCATTGCGCGCGTTGGAAGAGCCCCGGTTCCCCAGGTGCCGAATCGAAAGGGAATCTTGCCTGCAGACAGGAGTTGGGCATCTAAAGGTGGAAGCCCCTTTTCGACTCAGACGACGGGCTTGCTTGGTGTAATTACCTGCACACTTTTAATTCGGCAGTAAAGCTCACGACAACCGCTGTCGTCCGAAGTCCGAAGCAGAATATCTGCAACCTGCAATTCTTCGCCGTTACACTGGTCGGCCAGCATGGAGTGGGGGGGCGACAGGCACTTTCGTCACATAGCAGTCGTCCTGTGTCGAGGCCTCAAGATCAGCCGTCACCGTCGACGTCCTCAGCCGGTCAGCAGCCGAGCAGAGCAGTGACTGGGATTCTTCTGTAGAGGCGGGGGTTCGGAGATTTCCCCGAGCGATCCTTCCTAGTATGTAACCCTTTCCGTCCAGCTGCTTCTGCCGGCTCAAAGTTTTCAGCAGTTCTTGCGGTCATGAAGAGATCCCTGTTGCGCGCTGCAGCAGAACCTCTGAAGCTCTACCAGCAGCCCGGCATGCTCGGACAAGTGCTCATCCCGAAGAGCGCCAGATCAGGGTTGGCTCATTCCACGGTGCTGCATCTGAAATCACCTCAAGGTATGCGATCTGCCCCTTCTGCAACAAGACGAAGGCAGGGACCAGCTGCCCTTTCATTCCCTTTCCTGGTTCCTGCTGCGTCTCCCAGGCAGCCCTGGACTTCCTGAAAGTCCCCTACAGATCGGTGGAGGTGGATCCACTGACGCGATCGCAGATCAAATTTTCGAAGGCTCCGTGGTGCCAGAAACGCTGGAAGCTAGAATCCGAATGAAGTGGAAACTTGGGAAAGCCGTGCAGACATGCCTATGCTAGGACTACAAGAAAGTGCCTATCGCAGTGATGTCTGGCGGAACGGTGGTGGGCGGCTCAACCGAGATCGTGGATGCCGTTCTCGAATCTGAGGCTCGGCTAAACGAAGGCATCGGCACAAAAGAGCCACAAACAAGGGTGAAAGGGAGTTCGAAGCTCGTCGAATCTCTGTCTTCGTTGTACCGTGGCATTGATGCTTCTCTACGCTGGAGGGGACATATTTCGTTCGTGCTCCTGCGAGCGCCGTCTCGTTGCTGAGCACTACCGCATATGCGGAATGCTGATTGGTTGTGGCATAAATTCAGCAAGAGAACTACCGATATTTGGGAGGTCAGTTGCAACCGCAGTTCAACCGCAGTGCATTTCTTTGGTGGGCAGACAGCTAACCCTAGCTCTCGTGCGTGCGGCACTCTGATGGTGCTAAACAAGGTGAGGGGGTCTCTTTTTCATCCTGCAGCCAGTCTTTGACTGTGGGTCGGCAAGCAAGTGCGAAAGGCGACAGGCGACATTCTAGCTGCAGGTCTGCTCAGGCACTCAGTCTCTGCGACAAGCCTCAAATCTTCCTTCAGACAAGCAGTATGCCGGATCGAAATCACACGAGTGTTCTTGAAGGCACGTGGGTTATTAAGTTTCGCTCCCAGCAGGTGTCGGCGCCTCAAGCTGGAGTGGATGCCCAAGCCTCGGTGCGGTATCAGCTTCCTGTCAAGCGGCACGAAGCTCTCCCTCTTCGTCTCAAGGCAAAGCACTTCCTAAGCGATGAGGCCGCGATCCAGGGGTCATCATGTGCTCAATAGTGGGTAAACTGTATCAATGCGAAGACTCACTCTGCAGGCGCGACACTGGAACAAGTGGTGTGATGTGCCTGGCCGAAATATTGAGCCTTCTGTTTGAACGGCATTGTGCTGCCTTGATTCGAAAGTGTTCATGAATGGCTTTAACTTGCACGTTCTAGACTTTTCATTTAGTGCCGCTTCATGCGTCGACCTGAGCGTGCCGGAGCCCTCAAAACAGAAACCCAGGAGAAGTTCGCTGTGTGCGTCTATCCCAACATCACCCGGAGCGTCTCCGAGTGTTGGCAGGCGGATCGGAGGGTGAGTTTCTGTTTCTGCCTGCCCGAATGCGTACCACGGGACATCAAGGTACATGAGCAGGGCAGTCAGTTCAATGACCACTGTGTCGGTCTGGGTGGGTCATTTCGCAGCGCCGCAAGTATCTTAGCGACTCTGGTGTTGATCACCCAAGGCTGCAAATAACTCTCCCTTAGCGGCAAGCTTTAGACCTACGATGCCGACGACGTCACTTGTGATCACCTGAGGTTAGTCACTTGTAACCACATAACTTTCTTCAAAAAAGTCCTGGCACGGCCACGGCTTCTCGCAGCTCCTTGGTTCGTGTCCAGAGTCTGAAACTAGCCGAGATTCGAGATCGTGCTTCCGCCACTGCCGCAAGCATTGTGGGTTGTGCATCCTCTCCCCGACATAGTTACCGCTGTGCTTTGCTCTTCGTAAATCGTTGGCTGTGCTTGCGCCTCGAAAAATCGTGCTCCTGCCACAGCCCCCAGACGTAGTGCCTTGCGAGCTGCGACTTGTGCATTTCGACTCCTGTATCGGTGGTCTTGGGGCTCCTGGAAGGTCTCTTGGCAACTTGGTTGGCACACCCCAAGCCTTGAAAGGAGATGTTGGTTTGCACACCCCAAATCCTAATTGGAGATTGGACACTCCCAAAGCCTGAAATGGGATGTTGGTTGGTGAACCCGGCCCCAAAAGGTGAGTGGTAAGGGCCCAATCCCGAAGTTGGTTGCCAAACTCCAAGCCAGGTTGGCAAACCCCAAAGCCGAACAGGAGAGTGACAAACCCCAAAGACTGAAACGCGATGTTGGTTTGGCAACAAGCCCCAAAGCCTACAAAACCATGTTGGTCGTTGGTTGGCTAACCGGACAACGCGAAAGACGATGTGGGGTTGACAAATCCCAAACACGTGTTGGGCTGGCACACCCCAAACCTCTGTAGGAGATGTTGGTTGGCAAACCCGGAATCCTAAATGCCCGAAATGATCATTGGCACCCCCATAATTACCTCAAAGCAGATGCTGGTAGCCTAAAGCGAGATGTTGGTTTGGCAGACCCTGAGGAGGATGTGGGTTGGCACACCCCAAACCCTATGTCGTGGATTGCCACCCCCCAGAGATTGGGTCGGCAACCCTAGCAGGAGATTTACAAACCGTGTTCTCGGATTATTGGCACTCATCCGGTCTGCATGTGGTTAAGCTGCGACTCATCCAACCAGAGGTGGCCAGCCATGTGAACTCATGGGACCCGAGGTCATTCGACCCGAGGAGTACACTCATCCAACCCGTGATCGCTCATGTGTCTTCACACAACCGCACATCATTTCCCCCACACGCCCCCCCCACACGCACGGAGAAGAGTGATCAACCACATACCATTGTCGACTGAAAGTCTTCTACGTCCAACTGAATGCCAGGACCTGTAATGCCTTAGTCTTCATCTGACGCCTGTGGCAGTTATACGACAACTTCATCCAGGTCCTCGGCTTTGCCTGGCTGCCATGAGGTTTGAAAAAGGCAGGTACGTGATCCCAGCGTCCCAGGATCATGTCAGGTCATATCACACTCAGCTGACAGGCGTCTTCGTTGGCCTGAGTCCTGTCTATGAGCCTCAGGCCCCTGCTCTCATCAAAATTCCAATACCTTCAGCTTAGAATCAAGGCTCACACACACACACACACACCTCACCCCCGGTCCAAGTGGAGGTGGTTTGCGTGTACCCATCCGACCTGGGGTACTTCGTGTGTACTCATTTGACCCTTGGTGGCATATGCGTAGTCATACGACCGCACCTCATTCAGAATCCCCGCAAACCCCAACCCGAAACCCGAGGTGGTTACAAGTGACGGGAATGAGGTTGTCACAAGTGGCGGTGTTGCCTACCATGCGGGCTCGAACCTCTTTTGTGAATCCAGAGGCCCTGGGATACTTGCAGAAGTGTCCAGAGTTCTCGCTGCCGCGAGCCGTGGCGACCCGAGCGCTGGGTGCCGTAGGCAAGCTCAGGGATTAAGGAAACATGTAGAGTTTCAGAGCGGCTTCAGGCTTCTGTTTGCTGTTTGCAACCTTCTAGATTCTAGATGTCCTCCTAGCATCCTCATCAGGGTTCTGCCACTCCACCAGACTCACGTGCACCTGGAAGCTTCTCGTCCCCTGTGTTGAGCGTTTCCATCAGAGCTTTTCTGGTTTGCAACGGGTTGAGCTTGAACATCCATGTTGCCAACCCATTCGTATTTGCGAGACAAGTGACCTTGCGTTAAATGTCATTTAAGGCGACTTCCCCATATTGCTTGTTAGCCTTAGGTCTTAGGTTGTACACAGGGACATGTGGCCCCTAAGCGCGAGGCATGGCAGCCGCCCACGGGAAAATCAAAAAGCTGCTGGCTCAGCTGCCACAACGGTGAACGTAGAGGTCTGCACGGCGGGTGTTGATCTATGCGAGGAAGTACCAGATGGAGGATGAGCGCGAGGCGCTCTTCACGGCCGTAGATGCCGGTGTCCCAGTTTCAAGCGCAGTGGGCTGTGCGAGACCCTCGTTTGGTCCAGGCGTGGACTGCTGAAGTGGGTGGCAAGGAGTTCCGAGGCCAGGCTTGTACACTCCGGAGAGGCGCCAGTCGTGTTGCCATGAGTTCAGGCGGCGAGAAGCCGGATCTTTCGGACTTGGCGGTCTTCGGGTGCATCCGCGGCATCTCAGATCTGCCGCTGTATTCAGAGATGACAGAGCACAAGGACCACTGGTGAAGGGATCGGGCTTGTGCTGGATGAGGTCTCAAGATCCTGTCTGTATTCGGGTGAGCCCATGTGTTTTGCACTGTAACTGTTGAGTTCTGTGCAGTTGCTCGCAGGCGTTTGGGCCCTGGTTCGGCCGAGTCGCCAATGCGTTAAAAGCAAAGATTGCGGAGTGACAGCGGGCTGGAGCATAACATGCACCAACTTCTCGGGTAATGGGCGACACCTTCAGGCCTTGGGTGGAACAGCTCTGTTTTTGACTTCAGTTCAGCAGCACACTAAATTTTCGGAGAATTCCGCTTGACTTTGGATTGGCTAATGAATCTAGTTTTGAATTAGTCGTTACGTTCTGGATCTAGTTGCTTCAGGGCTAAGCAGCTCAGCGACGTGACTCATCGCGTTTCATGTGTTATGCGTGTCGGACTTCACTAGGAATGGGATTATGTTTTTCCTGGGCTATGGCCTCGACAGTACAGGATCCGTAGAAGCATCGGGTAGGATCACCCGACACCGTTGTATGCACTCCCAAACACGGGGTGTGCATGTTTGTACTTGGCACAACAGGTGTCATGCTTTAGGCTGAGTTTTCTCGGTACTCGTTCTGGATGTCCAGGCAAGGAGTCCGCACTAGTGGATGGAGCTTCGGTGGCCGACAGCCAGTAGGAAAAGCACGGCATGCCCGGAAGTAGCTCCTGTGTCTAGCTGCGCAATGTTCGTCAAGCTTCTTGCCGCTATTCCGCCCAGTCCTTCCGGGTGCAGCTGTGCCACCACCCCCGAGGCTTCGGGGACCTTCGGGACTTTTGGAAGCTTCTGACATTTTGCCGATGCTCAGGAGAAACTCAGGAAGCGTTCCAGAGCAGATGATCTATGCCTCTTTGCTTTGCGCAGCGATCCGGAAGACAACGATTCACACAAACGCATACACATCTTCACACGTACATACTGTGAACATCAGTGAACGCGATGCGGCAACCAGAATGAACACGTATCGGCGCCAAGTGAACATTTGCTTCCAGGTAAATGAACACTGGCAGGTGAACATCCATCTTCCCACCCACCCAGCATCCATCCGTCCATCTGTCGATCCGTGAATCTTTCGATCGATCGATCTATCGATCCGTCGAACTATCTGGATACCGCTCTATCGGTCTCCTGATCTATCTTGCTAGCTATCCAGCTACCTGTTTATCAATTAAGCTATCTACCTACCTGTCTATTTGTTTGTCCATCCATGTCCACTATCTCTGCAATATGATTTATGGTTCCAGCAGACCGACTTCGACTGCAGCTATCTTCCATACACCTAAGTAAAATACGTGATTGCCTGTGTTGTTGTGTTAAGGTCTAAGACTACACGACTAGAAGAAAGTGATGTAAAGCGGGGTGCATTGCATGCATGTACTCTCGCATCATGTTCCAGCAATCCGTCCGTGCTTCGTGCAGCTATCTCTCGACTCTTGTTTGGGTTGATGCAGGCAGCCTGCAGCAGGCTGAAGAACGTCTCACAGTCTTATCCTGCACTTGTGGGTGACTGACTTCGCAGAACAAAAGTGACGGTTCGACATGGTCCGACCATGTTCGACCGTGGGATCCGTGCTCTTTCAGACAAGACTTGCAAGGTACTGTTGATATCTGTTGATTCGGTGCACTATTTGATGCTACATCTCCAGCCTCCTCGATGAAGGAAGATGTGCAGCCGCGAATCTATGTTTGACTCGTCCGCAGACATTTCAGAGGGAGCCAGCAAGCCGCCAAAATCCGGGCGGAGAAAGTGCCTCAGAGGAATTACTTGGACAGCTGCAGCCAGTCTAGATTCTGCAGTTCATTTCAAAGAAAGATCACGCAGCTCCCGAAGCATCGCGAAGAAGCTTGAAAATTGTCTGGCTGGGTATGTGGTCCAGAGCTTGGGAAGAGAGCTGGCTGTCTCTTGTCTCAAGGTGCGCTTAAGATGCTTCTCTCCTTGGCCCATGGACTCCGCGCATTTTCCTGCTGTCTGGTTTGAGGTGGAGCACCCCACCTGAACTGTCTCTTGAAGCGCGACTCGAGCACCGCGACCCAATCACCCGCGTCACATTGGCGATCACAACACGACGGCAGATTCAAGCACTGAAACTTCAAGCAGGCGCTACAAAAACGCGTGTGCGATTCAAGGGTGTGCGGGCTTTTGGGGTTGTTACAGGTTGTTGTGCTTCACGATTTTGTCGGTTTCAGGTTTTGAATCTCGGGTTTTCAGGGATGACGGGCTTGAGGGTTTGAGGAGTTGGGGCTCTCGCGGTTGATGTGTTGCAGGCTCAATGTGTCTAAGGTTGGTTAATGGCGTAGGGTTGTTTTCGGGCTAGTATATAGGCGAGGTTTTCAGGGCGCGAATGTCGCGTCCTCCGTGCGCTAGTCTGCCGGATCGTCTATGTGCGAATCTGCCGTGCGCGAAGCAGCCGCTCAGTGCGCGAACCGATTTCCTGCTAGACTTCCCCTGCCCTGCCCGAACTTCCCCATACTTGTCTAGTGGCACTTCGTGTTTGGACCGCCGCAGCCGATGCTAAATTGCCGAAGGTTCCTAGTTCCGTCTTGGGTCTGCCCGAGTCAGCGGCTGCAGATCACGGCAACAGATGGAAATAGTACGGAATGAAGTTCCCTCATGTTTACTCTATCATGCTGATGTAACTATCTGTCCAGTAACGCCGTCTCAGCGGATCCATGTGAACGGGTGAGGTTTGAGGCTGATAGTTGGAGAAACGTTAGCGAGACACGGTGCCTTTCTTTGGGACCCTCATCCGCGTTCGACCACGAGGAACTGCGGATACAGCCGACTCAAACGTCCTTCGTGTCTCATTCTGAAGCTTTCTGTCCGGACGAGAGAATCCACCTGGGTCATGATTGCCGCTGTTTGGGCCGGATGTGCCCATGCGTACTTAGTGGGTAATTTTCCTGCAGGCAATTTCAAGAAGTACGTTGAAGATGCGAGATCATTTGCTGACCTGCCTTAGGCACCATGGCCCCCCAGATGCGCTCTCGAGGCCGTGCATTGCTGGCCACTGCCCCAGAGAAGGATGGCCGATGACAGGGCAGCGGGTTTGGTGAATGGACCTGGTTCTTTTGAAGTGTTGCCGGAAGTCTGAAAGAGAAAGGAGGTGAATCCAAGGAGTAGCAATACTTGGCAAAGGTGGCGGCCTTCACTCCAGCTTTTCCTTGAGGTTCTGGCTGTCTTTGCGGTCTGCAGATGGTCCGACGTACTCAACTTCGTTTGCAGCAGGGGCCTCGAAGGATCGTACTGCAATGTGCTGCATACATTTCTTGAATTGCAGCTCTGGATGTTGTGGACTCAGTCACATGTGATAGCTTTGAGGTCCCCCATCGAGATCACTGGAGACAGTCCAGCGGAGGCACAATGAAGCAGTGGGAACAGACGGCATGCGGCCAGCACGGGCTCGCTCAGAAGATGCATCACCTCAACATGCAGGGCGAGTGCTGCCGGCAGTGAGCCACCCAGCACCACCACCGAGGACAAGAAGGCTTGCAGTATGCACTCCGCATGCAATTGTGGAGTAAATCATGGCCGTGTTTGGGTGTAGAGTGAAACGAGGTGCAAACGTTCGTGAAGGTCACCGTTTGCTTTCCAACGGGTCCAAGTATCAAGAAGATACTACGCAAGTCTGTTCCACTAGAAGAGCGATCACTAGATTCTAGATACCAACGTCCGTTGTAAGAGGTCTCCCCGCAAGACAGACTGCACACTCGGGGCGCCGCTGTGCGGGTTCGGGCGGCCGTGCCCTTCCATTGCCTGCCGCAAGCATGCTGGATGGATGGTGAAGATTAGGTTTGTAGGCAGGTAGGTAATACCTGGCCAGCTAGCTTGGGCCGGGGCGGGGAGCCTCCAGTCTGGAATCTCCGAAACAGCACGCTGATTCTGCGTGCGCTTTCTGTAGCAGGCCGGCGGTGACAAGGACTCGGTGCTAGTCTCTCGCGACATGTGCATTGCTGGCACCCACAAAAACAGTAACCAACCATCGTTCTGGTGCAAACTGACTTACTGACTGCAGTACTGTAGCACGTACAGTGTCATTTCACCATCCACCACCACCGCCACCACCGCTACCGCCGCGACCGTCGCCACCGCCGCCACCGCCGCCACCACCGCCACCACCACCACCACCACCACCACCACCGCCACCACCACCACCACGACCACTTCCGCTGCCACTGCCACGACCGATACGACTACTTCCACTACTACGTCGACGACAACGACGACGACTACTACTACTGCCACCGAAACTCCTGCTTTGATGCCGAAGAAGGAGATCGATGACGCTGTCCTTCGGATGGCCATGGCCATGTCCGAGGAGGAGGTCTGACAGCTTGTCCGACTGTTGCGAGTGATTTGGCTATGGTGCCCGCAATGTAGCTCTGCTTATGTGTATCCCAGCACAGCTGACCCCACTATATAGGAGGGTACTGCACCAGCCACTCCGGAGAAATCGGAGAAGAAGGAGGTCGGGCTGCATGTGGGACGTGGATGCGAAGCCACGGCACAGAGCTTCTTTTCAGTTGCCTCTCGGTCTCTCGCGGGTTTGTCTTGGAAGGAAGGTTTTGACTTCAACATTTTGGTCACTGCGCCGCGAGCCCGGAGACCGGTGCTGGGTGTCGATGAATGGTCGACTGTAGAGCTTCGACCTCAGCCACAGCCATGCAAACAGCAAGGTTCTGGGTGAGCCTGATTATCTACTCCTTCGGCTCCAGCGCCTCTGAAGCATGAGCGGTACCGGTTGGCATTTGATCTTCAGTTGGACAGTAAGAGTGAACCGCTGGCTTGACTTGCAAGGTGTCATCGGAGTGACGCAGGGCCGAATCCAGGACCATTGCATTGAAGTGATTTATGCCCACAGGTACGATGCTTCTTTTATTCGGGGCAGGGTGTCCAACTCTACTTGGAAGTAGAAATCCATAATTCGCAACTCGGCTCCCAGAACAGAGGGGCATTTTGCCGGACTTTGAGGATGATTTTGCGACTGTCCGGTGCGTATACTCTGGACTTGGCACATCTTGTCACGATGCAAGCATGTAGCCTGCAGGACAGGACAGGTGGCGATTTCACCCTGTATGACTTCTTTGACAACATCTTTTCCTTCTCTGAGTCGCGAACTTAGAAGCAGCTTTGTCCACAGCGCCACAGTCAGAAAGCTTGTTGGTGGATTGAAGGTGGAACTGGGAATACTCCTTGGGCTTCGATCCCTTCAAGCTCTTTGATGGTCTTAAAAACGGTAGCCACTGGCTCAGCTGAACCGTGGGCAGGCGACAATTCTTGTGTATCAGGGCCAATCAAGTCGCTGTCGCGCTTTCAGTTGTGAAGTGGTGATTGCCATACAGCATTCCCGGAGACACGAGGTGCATCGTCGACGCCACCGTCTGCGTGATGCAAACGAGAGCATTTTGTCATCATGATGTGCGACAGGACAGGGAAGCAGCCTGCTTTGTGATGTGACGTGAGCACCCCTTCGTGAAGCGCAATGCGCAGGACCGGCCTGCAAAGCTGCACGTCCAGGTCACAACTCGCGAATGAGAGGCTGCGGAGCCGCTCGCTAGCCCTGAGAGCCAGGCGGCAGTCCCTGACTTGCACTTGAAACAGGCACTTTGGGCTTGAGGGCTTCATAGCCTTCTCAAAAATAGAAAGACTTGGCAGTGTTGCAGGGAACAGCCTCCTAGCAAACTCTCGTACTGCTCTTGATGAAGCGAGCCTTCGGCTAGCTGCGATGTTGGAAGAAGGGAGGACTTCTGAGTCCAGTATTAGTCCGATATGCACAGAGATTATCTATTTTGGTTCATGTTGGCTACTGTAGACAGGCACATAATTACTGCGAGAGGACGTGCACCGACGGATACCATCATATTGACACAGGGCACAACTTCCGAGCAACTTTGCAAGCAGTGCTGCATGCAACATGTGCAGACCCTTGTGACGTGTCTGCAAATTTTGCTTCTTAAGATGGCTCGGCCAACGAACGATACGCATTGCCACAGTTTGTGCAGAAGCATTCGAGCGTCATGACATCATTCAGACTTCTAGCATGTATGAGTCTGGTTGCTGGACTTTTTGATCTCACCGGCAGTCAGACGGTGGCACGAACTGTTGGCAAGATGCTGCATTGCGCGCTCCCCGGTCGAGGAGTGCAACTTGCGACAGCAACCCAAGCGAGCATTTTGTAAGTTGTTTGGCCTGAGATAGATGGTTGGCGCGCCAGCAATCAAGCCATGCCTGTTAAAAGCGGTGTTGGTCATCCATCAGAATCCAGAGCAACTTTTGCAGCAATAAGATGTAAACCAATGCCAGCCTGTTGTGATCCTGTCTGAAGACGCTTGCGGCCGCTTGCGTTTGAGGTAATTTCAAGCAGTCTCAACCCTCGACCGGGAGCTGTCCAGGTTTTTAACACCTTGCACAAATATGTGCTTCTGATGCAAGCTTGCCAGCTGCATCGCCACTTATCCATCTCGCAAAAGTTATGCCATCTTGCATGCCGGGGTTCGAACAGACCTGAAAGTGTTTTGCGAATCCCAACTCGTGTAGTCCCATGTCATTTACATGTCGAGTGTCGCGAAGTGCTTGCAAATTTCCGATGCACGATATTCGGGCCCAAGGACTTGACATGCACATGCTTGTCCAAGTCTAGTTAGTGTGTCTTGCCCGCGTTGCGGGTGACGTCCCGAATCCATGGGACTTTGCCTTAGTGCGGCAGGGAATTGCAAAGTGCCTGATACATCGGTCATGGTCGCCGTACCGCAGTCGACAATGTCAAAAAGAGTTACTCAGGGCTCATGTTAATTCAAGGAAGCTTAGGCTCTCCGGTACCAAGGATTCGGAGATGCAAGTGCCAAAGACAAGAAGGCGGCCGCGGCAAAGCAAAAGGACGAGGTGTGCGACTGGGTAAGGCTGCTCTTCCTGTCGATGTTTGCTTGAGAGCGCTGTCGGTTTCCATTACAGTCATTGGTTGTAGTACTGTTGTAGTCGATGCAGTGTGCCTGTGACTTGAAGCGAGCTTCAGTTGCGGAGGGCTGGTAGAGGTCGCGGAGTCCCACATTGCTTGCACCGCGCCGAGTCTGCTCATCTGTCGCACTTCACCAGGCCGCAAAGGCTGCAGCCGAAGACGCGGCGTGGGCGGAAACTGACAAAGGCTGGGGCTTCGCATCTAAAGCTCGGAGGCATTGCAGCTGCACAAGGCAACCTGAAGAAGGCGGCCAGGGCCGCCGACGCCGCAGCGAAGGCAGGTGGAAGAAAGGGAGATGAAGCTTCCGCACGGATGCGCGGATGCATTGCGCCCGCAGCCTTTTGCCTGCCAGCTGTCCCCGCCCACCGCGACCTGTTATGGAAGACAGGCGTTTCAGCCTGTGGCTTTCTTACACGACTGTCAGTAAGTGTATCCATGCACGGAGCCCAGGTTTACAGCAACCGGGATGCGTTTCAACATCAAACTGAGATAGGTTCAAAGTTTGAGAGAGACGGATCAGATCAGATTTTGGGAGCCTGGAGATTGCATCTAGAAGTCAGATCCATGCGAGCAGGCCGTAGAATCAACTTTCAGGCTGCGAGCAATTATCACCTTTGCTGATGATTGTGGGGCTCCTATGCGCTGCATAGAACCTCGTCTCTCACCGTTGGAAAACACCGCACAGGGAGACTTCGAAGTCTCACAACCTGTCTCCGACTAGCTGAAGGAGCATGACCAAAGCCGTTCTCCGATGTGGCTAGCAAGTTGAAAAGTCGAGCGTGCGACTGTGTGAGGCAGATGCCAAGCTTGCAGCAAAAGCAGAGCTTAAAGCTGCTCGGCTGCAGAGCTTGCCTGTAAGCTCTCTTTATCGCGCTTTGGAGACGAGCGCGTAGGAGCTGGAGAAAGCGGACGAGGAGGCCAACAACGGCATGAAGGGGGCCAACAAGAAAGCAGGCGGCTACGGCAAGGCCGGCATTTCGTCTCCGACGGAGGCCTGCAGCTTGGGTGCGTTCATGGCCCAGCACAGGTGACACAAGCCGAGATCGCCAGAAGACAGGCCGTGGCGGTGCTGCTGGACAACAAGCGCAGTAGTGGGAGCCAACAGCCCTAGCAATGCAAAGACCTCCTCTTTTTTTTATTCTCCTGGCGCAAGTCATGTCGACCGACAGGCCTTGATGGCAGTCGCTGCCAAGGCGAACCCCAAGAAGCAAGCTAAGAAGACGGAGGTGGGGCCTGAATGTGGCGGCAAATGCTGCAGGAACCACTCAGCAAAGCTGTCAGGTTGTACCTCAGCCTAAGCTGGAGGCGAACACCAACCGCATGGAGGAGCTACCAAAACTTGGGTGCATCTGGGACAGAGCATGTTGCAGCAGTCTTTCGGTGACTTCTGCAATAAGCTGCTGTCAAGCCATGCCAAGCTGACGCTGTGTCGTTTCGAGTTGTATGTTGTTTTTTTTTGGGGGGGGGGCTTTGGGTTTGGGCAGATGACGTCTTGCAAGGAGGTAGTGGACGCCTGGCTCTCAAAGCTCTGAGTCGCAATGCATCAAACTTGGCAGTAAAGCCAAGACTCAGAGGTTGAATCGCCAGAGTACAGGCGTACGGAGTTCTGCCCCGTATCGGCCAAGGCCAGCGGCATTGACGCAGCCCTGAGCGCGTTGGACGTTGGTGGCGAGAAGAAATCGAAGATGCAACCTGGCCGATGCGCAGTTATTGGACAGTTTGTGTGTTCAGGTATCGCTATTGGGACGTCGCCAACCTGTTCTGTCGTAGGATGCTTTCGAAAGGCACCATGCTTTCAGGAAACTGCTTCCTGGGGGCGGGGGTTGGAGCTGCACACAAGCATGCTGGAGCTAATGGGTGCCCGGCAGCCGCCAGCTAACTGGGCAATTGCGGTCATCTTAGATGGGGCGTGTCAAGGGGCAATGTGCAAGTTTCTTGCGCTCAGGACATATGCTGTCGGGCTCTCAGAAAAGTAAATATGCTGTGACAACTTGCTTGTCTGAGTAAGGAGTTTAGCCTGCGAACGAGGATCCTACTTACTAGTATCTGAGACACATTTCGTTGTGAAGCTGTCGCTAAGGAGTTCGAAGCAAGAGAACTTGAGAACATCAAGCAGGCCGAGTCCGGTTCATGCACTTGGCATCTCAGTCTTCAAAGCTCTACCAAGGATATTAGAAGCTTCGCCTCCAGTCTATAGTACAGTGGTTGCAACTGCCTATAGATATCGATTTCTAGACTCACTAGCTTACGTTCACAGATGTACCTCCGACAGTGGTGCTTAGGAGGTGTCTGCGCATCTCCCAACGGGCCGAACGTAATAATCGATGGCTCATGAAAGCCCTAAACCCTAAACCCTAAACCCTAAAGTGGCAGGAAAATCCTGGGCTCAAGATGTCGCAGGCCAAGGATCCGGACTTTTGGCCTCGGAGTTTTGCAAAAGTTCCAAGAACCTACGCACGTCTGCCATATGGGAGTTTCCGAAAATAGAGGGTACCTTATTTTGGGGTCCTTATAATAAGGATCCTACTATTTAGCGTACTATATTAGGGTCCCCTATTTTCGGAAACCCCCATATGTGGGGTTCTGCATGACAAGGCACATTCAACCAGCGTTTAAATCGCTGTCACCAGGAGCGATGCTTCAAGATGTGGGAGCGCTCACCGGAGAATCCCAAAAACCAGGAAAAGTGAGCACTTTTTTACGGAAGATGGACGCCGGTGCCGAAGTGGACAGTGGCATGATCATCTCCGTTCCCCTTGCGCAGTAATGTCCTACCGCAAGGCAGAAGTCTCACTCACATTCGCCCCCTGAGCCGAACTGCTGCTATAATCGCTAATATCATCGAAATCCGATATGTTCCTCAGAAGTTGGAAACGGACAGGGAGTGAAATGATAGGTTACTTGGCCTACACATAAGTCCAAGTGACATGGCCCTTTCACCAAAGACGTGCTTGCTAGGGCGTGATAAAAAATCAGATAAGATGATATTGATGAATATGATATTATATTAAAATAATTTGTCAATCATGGTTATTTATAATAATTAATTATATAATTATGCGATATAAATATAGATTAAATATTAAATCGAATTTATTTGATTCTGATATTGATATTTTTGAATAATAGAAATATATATTTTTATTTATATCTAACTTAGGTATATTTCTTAACTATATCTGAAATTATTTATTGAAGCTCTGAGGAAAAATTATATCATATTATGCTTAGTCATATTAATAGGAATATTTGTGGAATTAGATTTCTATATGGAGAATAATTGATATTGAAATTATGAGATATTCTTTCAAGATAATATTCGAATTGATGCTTATAAAATCTACTATTTTTATGGAGGATGATTCTTTCTGATACATTTCGAATGGAAATTTATGGAATTAGATCGATAAAATATAAAAAAAGAAATTCAATAGAAGATAAAGATA